CGCTAGGGTTATAGAGATATTAGTATGCGGTAACCCGAAAGTTGTTAGGAGTTACGGATGAGATCCCGGACGTCACGAGGAGTTCCGGAATGGTCCGGAGGTAAAGAATTATATATAGGAAGTGCTATTTCGGCCATCGGGACAAGTTTCGGGGTCACCGGTATTGTACCGGGACCACCGAAAGGGTCCCGGGGGTCCACCGGGTGGGGCCACCTGCCCCGGGGGGCCACATGGGCTGTAGGGGGTGCGCCTTGGCCTATATGGGCCAAGGGCACCAGCCCCAAGAGGCCCATGCGCCAAGAGATGAGGGAAAGGAAGAGTCCTAAGAGGGGAAGGCACCTCCGAGGTGCCTTGGGGAGGAGGGACTCCTCCCTTGGCTGCACCCTTCCTTGGAGGAAGGGCCAAGGCTGCGCCCCCCCTCTCCCTTGGCCCTATATATAGTGGGGGAAAGGGAGGGCAGCAATACCTAAGCCCTGGCGCCTCCCTCTCCCTCCCATGACACATCTCCCTCCTCCTGCAGCGCTTGGCGAAGCCCTGTTGGAATCCCGCTACTTCCACCACCACGCCGTCGTGCTGCTGGATCTCCATCAACCTCTCCTCCCCCCCTTGCTGGATCAAGAAGGAGGAGACGTCGCTGCTCCGTACGTGTGTTGAACGCGGAGGTGCCGTCCGTTCGGCGCTAGGATCATCGGTGATTTGGATCACGACGAGTATGACTCCATCAACCCCGTTCTCTTGAACGCTTCCGCGCGCGATCTACAAGGGTATGTAGATCCACTCCTCCCTCGTTGCTAGATAACTCCATAGATTGATCTTGGTGATACGTAGAAAATTTTGAATTATTGCTACGTTCCCCAACACCTATAACCTTTCTGCAGCTAGCAAGAAATCCTTTCTTAATAGCACCAAAGCACATGTAAAACCTCTCAAAACATGCTCATCATCCTTCACATCATCTGTCAGTTTGATAGCAACAGTGCTACCTGGGTTAGTTCTCAGCAATTCCAATTGGTAGTCAAAAATCAAGGAATATTCTCCTTTGGTGGTATCTTTGTATTTCTCCATCACTAATTTTTTGGCTCTTTTGCATTGTGCAATAGTGACATCTGCAAACATGTCCTTCAAAATAGTTTGCTTCAAGTTTTCTAATTTCCATGTCGGATTTGCTTTTATAAGTGCTGCATACCTCTTAGCAATAACTACAGATGTCACTAGTTTGTTGTCTCTTTTTGGAATACAATGATGCTCATCTACATATGTTGAGACTTGCAACCATTTGTGTCTAGTGGTCCTTGATGCATAAATGACCCACTTACATCCAGGCCAAGAACAGTAAGCTCTAACTTTGTCATGTTCATCTTTTCTGAACAACAAATGCATGTGAGTTTTAACTCCATAGGAAATCACTGCTTTCTTCATGTGCTCTCTGCTTCGGAAAACCATGCCAAGTTGAAAGTTGGGCTTTTCAGCTTTGCTATCAAACCTAGGCCACTTGCTCTTCCTTCTTACCATAGTGGTACCTCCTTCTCCATCACTTTCTTCATCATAAGAGAAATCATCCTCATCAGAGTCAAAATATGGAGTTTCAAAACCAGCATCCAAATCCTCATCAGATTTACATTGCACTTTATTGTCTTGCATTATAATTCCACTTCTTTGTCCTAGCTTCTTAGCTCTCTCATTCCTCCTAATCTCTCTTGCAAGTTTTCTCAGTTCCTCTGCCTCCGAATCCTCTCCGGAACTGCAATCAGGTATTGGTTCATAATCAGTATCCTCTTCATCTGATTTGTCAACAGGAGGTGCTTCTGTTGCCGGAACATGTTTGGTTGAAATCTCATGATCTGCACCAACTGTTGGAGCAACATGAGGTGCTTTTGTTGCTGGAACATGTTCAGTAGATTTTGCCACTGCCCTTCTTCTAATTTGCAACTTAGCAGGTATAGCAACTTCAGTTGCAGTAAAGTGTGCCTCCAACTTAGCAGCACTTGCACAAACTTCTCTCGGTGTTTCATGAGCAGATGATGCGCTGACTTGAGCACTTTCAGCAGGACTTGCCATCTTTTCAAGTAACATCTCATCGACCACTCCAGTGTCAACGACTTGCACACTAATAAGTGGTAATTTTGTCCCTCTCTGCCTAGAGTAAGTTTCTCCTACATTTACTGGCAATAGACCTGCACATATGTCAATCTGTTCATCACCTGCACATATGTCGAATTGCTCATCATTAGCAGATAACATGGTTTGGTCTGGTTGCATTTCTTTGTCATTGTCAAAGTGTTGCTGGATTGGCATGTCCAATTCTTCAACAAAAACATCAGCATAACTATCTATTGTTCCAATGTCCATCGTCTTCACTGACTCATCATCACACATGAACATAAGACCATCACTGACTTTTTTCCCTGGAGGCAACCAATGCAATTTGTAGGTGTAACTATCTCCGCAGTGACCTCTTTCCATCTGATGAATATCTTCTGTGGAGTTATATAATTCTTCATAGGACAAATCATCCCTTGGCATGATCATCTCTGCCATCAATTCCCCAACGTAATCCAGCTTTCCATCCACTTGCTGAAATGATCCATAATAATGAAACCTGACAAAGAAATTGTCCAATGGATCGGGACCAGGAGAACCTACAAATTGAGACACGAAGAACTATCATTCATAGAAAAAAATCTGTTGGATCTTTAGCTCTGACAGTACACAAAAATTAAGAGAACTAACATTTACAATTTGGACTACAATTGTGATATACGAAGGCAACAAATTCAAACAAAAACACTTCATTCAGACAAGTATAACAGATAATTTACTATGGACTAACATGTTCAGTTCATTCAGACAAGAAAGTGCACTTTTCTCCTTAACCAAACAGGGTAATCATCTACAATAAATTCTCCTAGCAATGCAAGTTCATTCAGACCCATTTACTTTGCACGAGAGATACCAGCTTGTCCTGCACCAAAATTTGCTAAAAAGTCACTCCTTTTCCCTAACAAAAACATCCCTTTTTTCATGAACGGAATAGGGCATCATCCAAAACGCACTTGAACAGAACAGGGCGCATCCAAAACACTACTTATCCCCCTAAATCCCTAGCACTGAGACGCCCCATTCCCCTCACCCGAGCCCACACCTCTGCGACGCACACGATCATTCACTGGAGCTCGCGATTCCGCCGATGAACGACACCAGAAGCGAAGCAGAGCAGCAACGGAGATGGAGGCACACACACCTGGACACATGGTTTCGTTCCTTCGGCAACGGGCAAGCGGCAGATGACGGCGGCGAGGACGGATGGGGACGGCGGCGACGACGGACAGCGCCCTAGCGAGAGAAAGAGGAGAGGCGATTCTGGAGGCGATGGCGCTCATGGAAAAAGAAAGAGAGGAAGGGGACGAGGTGATAAAGGAAAGAGAGGCAACTGACTAATGGGACCTTCTCAGCGTAATTTGCCCAGTTAGCGCGTAATCTGCATCATGGGGTACAAAACCGCTCTAGATTAGACAGAAACCACTCAAGGGGGTTATTAACCCGGTTTTAGTAATTTCAGGGTGTTATTTATCCCGGTTTTGAGTTCAGGGGGTTATGTATCCCAAAGAGTAGATTTGAGGGTGATTTGTATACTTCTTTCAACGGTATACTTAGTGGTGGCAGTCCTTAGTAATTTTCTGAACCTTTGATCAAATGGCTGCGGACTTTTCAACTTTACTGAATCAACGGATGTAACAATTGAAGTGACGTGCCTTCATGAGAAAACAAGAAAATCATCTTAGCGGGTTGCCCCTACTTAAGAGCATCTCCAACAGGCGCGCCAAACTAGTGTCGCGTCACAAAATTCCCTATTTTAGCGTGCGCGCAACCAGAATAGTTGCTCCAGCGGGCGCGCGAAAACACAGCGCGCGGCATACGTAGTCCAGCGCGCTGGCCGAAACTCAATCGCGCGCCGCTTATTTGCTGTGCCCGCTCCCGCGCGCTGGACTCTCGCGCGCTTGCTTGCA